AACGATTGCTGTATTTAATTTGAAGGAACAGCAAGTATTTTTTTTAATTTTTCATTATTTGGAGGTGGACAAATAAACTTTTGCTTAAAAAAACGTGGATAATCAAATCCTGCTTTGAAATTAATTTAAAGTACTGTTGACAGTGCTTTAATTTAATCATAACTTTTTTTTAAGGGCGGAAAAACAAATCATGGACAAACGAATTCCAACTATATTTTTTTATAAAAAATCGCATTTGGCAGAGCTTTAGCTTCACACCCTCACACCGTTTATGTATGTTAATTATTTTATGAAATATTTAGATTCACAAAATCCTAATTGTGCCCAATTAATTATAATAATAGTAATAAGTACCTAACTGAATATTTTTTTATAGTATTTATTATTCAAATGATTTATTTAAATAATTGTTTGACTTTTCAATCACTGATACCCATAGAGAATAAAATATTAAAATGAAAAAAATAATTATTACTTTAGTGCACATTTTTTTATCAAAATATAGCTTTGTAAATTTATGAAAATAGTAATTAGGTACCTATAATCTAGCAATTTGCATATCATTTATTGTATTGTGTTTTAAAAAACATATTTTATACATATTTGCAAATACACATATTAAAATATTTAAAATCACGATTCTTTTTTTAAATAAATATTCAAATAATTACTTACGTTTATTATTTCCAGTAAATAAATTTTAATAATAGTAAATGCTGTTGTAATTTTAATACCTTTTAGACATGTATTAATTCATTCATTGATAAGAGACCTAAGCATTAGTTTAATATACCGGGTGTTCAAATTAAAGTTTTACAATTAAATACCGCCGAAAATATGCATTTTAGAAAAAAGTTTTAGACAAAAGTTTTATAGTTTTTTGGGAGAAACATTTTGGTTAAAATCATTTTTTTATAGCTGACCATAATCTTAGAGTTTTTGATAACTATGTCAGATGTGTTATTGCAGTGATATGAGAAATTGGTATCATCTGCATACAAGGTAGTTAGTAATTTGGCATTATTTGAATTAATATATGATGGAAGATCATTGGTATATATTAAAAGTAATAGAGGGCCTAGTACGGATTCTTGTGGAACATTAATAAAGGTTTACTAAGTTTATTTCTGTAATATGCACTTTGTTGTCTGTTTTGCAAATAAGAAGCAATCATCTTATTTGCAATGCCTCTAATGCCATATTTATCTAGTTTGTTGATTAACAATGTAGAACTTACACAGTCAAATGCTTTAGACAGATCAGTGAATATAGCTACGCATTGTAATTTGTTTTCTAAAGACTCCTGAATGTTATTCATTAAAACAGGCATGGCATCTGTAGTTGTTCTCCCATGTCTAAAACCATATTGTTCCCCAGAAAACAGGTTGTTGTTTTCAAAGAAATGCACAATTTCAAGTATTTTAGAAAAACATGATAAAATACGTATTTGGCGAAATTTTTCAGGTACTGAGTCATCTCCTTTTTTGTGGCATGATAGAACTTTGGACGTTTTAAAAATATCTGGAAAGGTACCTTCAGCTAAACAACAGTTTATCAATTCAGTAATAGGAACAACAATATTTTGGGCGCAGTTTTTAAATAAATAGGTATTAATTTCATATATATCTTGAGTTCTTTTTGATTTAGTGTTTTGTATTATATCTATGGTGTCAGATTCAGTAAAAGGAGCTAAGAAAAGTGATTGATATTTTCGATTATAACAAGTTAAGTCAATTTTATTTTTATTGTTATTACAAAATGTTTATTAAAGGTTTCTATATCGATTTCAGATTCTACTTTATTTTTATTATTACATCCTATTTCATTATTTATTATTTGCCATACAGTTTTAGATTTATTGTCTGAATTATTAATTTGTTGAAGTAAGTTATTTTGTTCTGCATTTTTTAACAATACATTGTATTTAGTTTTCTCTTGTTTATATAATTTTTTATTGTAGTTGGTTAGTTTGTTTTTAATGATGTCCTGTAAAAATGAGATTAGTTCTTTTTGTCTTCTTATTTCATCTGTATTCATATAACTCAAGTTTTTATTACATTTTCTTTTAGGTTGGGATATATTTGGAATGGAGGCATTAAAATGTTTCATAAATGTATCATGAAGTGCTTCACCTTTTTTATTTGCATTGGTTGCTCTTCTCATGTCATGCCAGGTTTTATTTTGCAGAAGATTATTTATATTATTTTGAGAGAAGGATCTAAAATGGGTTATATCTCCTAATATGGAGCGCTCATGATTTAGGAAAGTTAATAATTGAGGGTCATGGTCTGACTCTGTAGTCCTTAACACGTGTGTCTGAGCAAAAGGAAAGTTAGCAAATACGTTGCCTGGACATATTTGAGAGCTCTCTGTAATACGAGTATATGTAAATATTGTTTGTTCAAAATTAAACTGAAGTAACAAGTCGGTGTCTTGTTCTGCTATCAGGTTCTAAACATTTTACATTAAAATCCCTACATATAATGATTCTACTATTTTTGAGGGATACAAAAATGTATAGAGTTGTCAGCGAAAATAAGCATACAGGGGATGCTTTATGTACAAACAAAACTGAAAATATTAAAATATTTTAAATTTTGTATTCCAAAAATGGATAGGATTGTTTCTCAGATAGTAATATTTAGGGAACACATATTTTTTAGGTCACCTAACAGTAACTGTATAATTTTTTTCAGATTAAAAATGGTGGACATCATTAATAAATTTAGTTATAAGAAATAATTAGGTTCTTTTATTCGCTGTTGGTGCAGGGTCCATCAGTGTAAATTACTCCAGTTACACCACTTTTATTTACTTAGTTTACTTCTTCCTTATTCCTGATACACCTCAAATGTAATTCACTCCTGCTAAATAGCTCGTGGAGAAAATATCCAACAGTAGACACCACATCGCCGACAGGAAGGTGTAGTGGATTTTACACCGGGCCAAACGAAAGAACCTATTCAATCTCAGTTGAGGTTGTCAAAACACCAAGAATTTCAGATCATTTTATGCTTTTAACGAATCTGCTATTAAATAGCAATGACCTATTTGCTTTTTAAATTAAAATCATTAAAATCAAAGGTAAAAACTTAAATTTTGATATAATAAATAAAAAACTTTGTGTTTATTACAATCAATGCAAAAATTTTTAACAAATATTTTAAACATATTAGATTATATAATGCAAAAAGCAAATAAAAATATTTTCTAGATACAAAAAATGTTGGAAAGAAAATGTAAAAGCTGCCACAAGGTACAGAGATCTTGCATATAAAAAATGTTCACAAGAAAAAACAGAAAACAACTGAAATGAATATAAAATACATAAAAATTAGAAAGTAATTACCTAAGTACACCCATACAGAAAAATATTTACAGAAATATGGAAAATATCAAGAAAATATGAATAATCTCCCAAAATTTGATTTAAATTGGTTAATTAGTAAGTTTTTGAGATATTGTTGAAAAAGTAGTAAACTTCAACCCCTTTCGAAGTGGTGCACACCACCTTCCTTTATTAACTAAACTAACTTTATTTTTTGACATACTATTAGTTCTAAAAAGTTAGTCATGTCTTTATAAAACACCCTGTATTATTTCATCTTTACATTCGAGTCTATGAACACATTACAACAGGAAACATTTCTTAAATAATCAACTTTGAACCGTCATTTATTTAAATAGAGTCAAAAGAAGAGATATCAATACAAGCAACGTTTATTTATAACAATATCTTTGATGCAGACTTGTTTTTCAACAGATTAATAACCTTCTCCCAGAAGGTAAATGTCTTTATGTTCATTTCACAACTTAAATCGTATTGATAATTTATAATAAATGGAAAAATTTATTCATAACAGGACATACCTAGTTCTGATACAGTGGTTGTATGCTTCTAATTATAACACCTGTTGATATCACATCATAAATACTAAAAATATTATTGTTACTCAATTGTGTTGTTCAAGTTTTGATATTAGTATTGATACATTTTTAGAAATCATAATAATATGCAAAGATCTAGATTTTGATGTCGCGAAAAAATTAGTCCTCCCCCCTTCTTATTAAAATATATAATTTACAAACTTATAATCCAATGACGGACGTTAAAAAATACTTTAAATAACTGAAGCAATATTATGCCACTAACCTACTATCTAAAATTAAAAAAAAAATGTTAAAATAATAAAATATACACTAACAATATCCATAGATAGTTTTTAAACCACTTACCTAAAAATGCCTGTATCGCTAAATCTGCTGTAAAAGAATCCATTATTTCAAATCTTCAACACTAATATACAATCATTGTTATTGTTTTTCACGAAATCAACCACCTGTTTCACATTTCGATTTAATTTTCACGAGTTTTGAACTTTTCAATTTCCTCTTTACACGTTTTTTGACAGTTCTACTTATCTACTTCAACAACAACTTGACATTTCAAAACAACTTTTCTTTTGACTTTTGACATTTCCAAAGTTCAATTTTTAAAATATCGATGTTGGTAGACATGCGGGAGTAATGTTGGCATTACTTTTTTTATGACCTCTACCTTTATGTGTATCCATCAAAAAATTTTCTTTGAAATTGTATTTTTTAGAAATAAAATATAACAAACGTGATTGTATTTAAAAGTTTTTGGCATCAACATTAAAATATTTTTCGTTAAATTGCAATCTAATGCACCAATCAATCTGATTTTAAAAAAGGATGGCACACCGTATATTTTCGCGTATTTTGATTTCAATAAACATTCAAATAGTCTTATCTATTCACAATCTATTCATTAATGAGTAAATACTTGTCCATTGATAAGCAATAAGCCCCTATAAAATTTATTATTTTATTCACTGTACCTAATCAAATTCCTTCAACGCATGTGTAGAAATTTTTCTGACACTTCATTCACAAAAGTAATTTATTGATTTGTTGTGTATAGTAAATTTCAAGATCCGAATGAACGAAATGTCAAAAATTCTCATAGTTTATTGGTAGATCGCGAGTCTTGTGATTAGTCATTCAATACTGGACGAGCTATAGACAGGGCTCACGATTGACCTAGTACCAGCTGTTTACAATTTACGCGAATGTGATTATAGAATGGCCGCTAGTTCTTGCCTAATTTTTAAAAGAGGACGTTCCAAAATAGCTAGAATTTGATGATAAACCAAATTGTATACGATAATACGAAGTAATTTTAGGTCATGTAAATTAAAACGTAATTTTGTAGTGCAATATCCACCTTTATTGGAAAAGTAAATAAATAATTACACTTGGTTCCTTCCAATATACAAATCAAAAATAGCTCAGCTCTTTTCATGTAAGTATTTTAAATAATGATTTTTAGATGAAATTACCTACTTACAATGTTTATTTATGAAAATATATTGTATTTGTTATAAATTAAACTGGATATTAGTGGCGTATTTAAGGTTATGTATAGTTTGAGGTGTTGTGTGTGTTGGAGTTTGGTAAACATTCCATGTAACATTTCATTTATTGATAAAAATACTTTAAAGTTAAATTATTTGGCCCTAAAATGGAAATTTGGTTTGCAATATTGATCAATGCACGATGTACTATAATTATCAACTATTGCTAATTATTGGTAATTAACTTTTATCATTTAGAGTATTTTGAAAACTGTAAATACTTATAATTCGTTAGAGTGAATATAAATATTCATTGATAATGCAATATTTGTTAAAATGCATTCTTAGGTATAAATAGAATCTAAGAATAATACCTCATAGTGAATTTTACCAAATAGATAAGCTTTTTTTAAGTATTTAATAAACGTACTTCCTTTATCTTTATAAAATATTATTAACAATGTTATTGCCAGTTATTTAAACAATAATTGTTATATTTTTATTTACCTACTGTAAAGGTGAAGACATATAAGTATATTTTTACAGTTATAATAGGTTTAAAAATATATTTTTTTTTTACTAAGGAATGATCTTTATTCCAGAAAGATGTGTAGTTTAAATATATACTAAGTGTTTGTGGTTTTGTTTTTAAACTCTTTAAAAGGTGATTAATGTTAAAATACCCAACCAACATGTTTTAAATAATAAGAGAGATGATTTTAAATGTTATTGTTATATTATTATATATTATCCATAGTAATGTTAGAGGTGATGACAAGCAATCTAACACATGTGCTGTACTAATTTTTCAATGATTACTTGATATATCTTCAATAGATTTATCTATATTAGGCCACCAGCAATAGCCTCGAGCGCATTTTTTCATTTTGGAAATACCAGAATAACATAAGTGTAGTTCTTTCAAAACTGGGCTCTGCAATTCCTTAGGAATCCATACCCTATGCATTCGGATTATGCACCCTTGTAAACTCAGTTCATTTAAATCTACTTTAGGATTTAAATGCAGATATAAAGAATGTCAAATGTTAGAGAGAACAGGGTCTTTATTTGTTTCTTTAGCTACCAATTCCACTGTAACTGGCAAACTTTCAATTATACTTATTTCAAAAATATCTACTACATCAGGATTTGAAACTGAAGTTGTTTGTGGAATTGGTAATCTGGATAAACAGTCTGCATTTAAATGTAATTTAGTGTTTTGGTATTTAATATCATAATTAAAACATTGTAGGAACATTTGTTGCATTCTCATTGCCGAAAAAACAGGTAAACTTTTTGTGGGTGAAAATATTTGTACCAATGGCCTATGGTCAGTATATAACGTAAATTTATTTAAATATAAATACTGATAAAACTTTTTAATTGCAAAAATTATTGCATATGCCTCTTTATCAATCTGTGAGTATTTTCTTTGAGTAAGTGTAAGGGTTTGGGATGCATATTGAATTACTCTTTCTCTCCCATCAGGATAAATGTGAGATAGTACTGCTCCTACTCCATATGGACTGCTATCAGTAGCCACAACTAAAGGAAACTTAGTGTCAGAATGTACCAAGAAATTTGGACTTTGAAGAAGCTCTTTAGATTGTAAAAAAGCTTTCTCACATTCGTTTGTCCAACTAAACTGCTTATTTTTACAAAGTAATGGATTTAATGGAAATAGAATAGTACTTAGATTAGGAATGAATCTACTGTAATAGTTTATCATTCCTATGACAGCCCTTAATTGCTTTTCATGTTTGGAATTCGGTTTTAAAGTAAATTTTGCTTGAATATTTTGTATTTTTCCAAAACCTGGTGCAAAAATATCTTTATAATCCTGTAAGATTTTGTCTTCGAGCCTCTTCACCCATATATCGAACATCGTCGCTTCAGAATCGAATGTTTCTATTGAAAATATCGTTTGAACTGTATGTGTAATATTTGTAATGGTCGTATTGGCCCCCTTTTTTGCAGTTGTAGCCGCATCGTTCGGTCCCGTCATATTGCTGGTTTCTTTTTTTTTTTTAAATCCTCGTCGCCAATTCTGTAAATAATTTTACACTGAATAAATGTAAATGGACAATTTATTAACCCATTTGTTATATTTAAAATACTTTACTATTATGGGGTGAATTTTGGAGATATTGTTATTACATATATCTATCATATTGCATAAATCTCATTACAAATTACAAATCAAAAACTGAGATTGTTATTTACAATCCCATATATCCGTCTGTTCGCAACCTAATATATCATTCAAATTGAATTCACTGCTTCTGGTTGAATTATTTTGTTCTTTAGAAATCATTTTTTTTTTTTTCATTTGTAACCAAAATTTGATGAATTTCTGAGTTTGGTAAATGAGTTTGACTGTATTTCTGTTACTGAAACATGGTTGTCTGCAAATATTGATACAAACACCATTTCAATTCCTGGATTCAATTTTTACCGACTTGATAGACAATCTAGAGGTGGTGGTGTTGGTCTTTATTTAAATAATTATATTACTGGTTTACAATTAGTTGAATTTAATTCCTCTGACTTAAACTGTGAGCAAATGTGAATTAAATTTACGATAAACGGTTTTCATATTTGCATTGGAATTATATATCGACCACCTAAAGGTAATGTATCCCTTTTTATTGATAGTATTGACTCTACTTTGTCAAAAATTCTGCCTACAGTTGATCACATTATTTGCGTAGGTGACATAAATATTGATTTGTTGACAAATGATAATCCATCTTGTTTTGATGTGTACGAATCTATAACTGAACCTACTAGAATAACATCCACCTCGATGACTCTACTTGATCCTATTTATATACGTCTTTATTAAAACAAATGCATGCATACATTTGCACCAGGGAGGCGAAAGTTAGCTATACAGCTACTCTTAACCCTTAACCTTCCTAGTTGACATAGTAATATACTATTTACATTATATTTACACATTAATAACCTAATGATCTGTATTATAGTATTAATAACAAATAAACATATAAATAATTACAAAGAACAAACATTGAAATATAAAAAAAAATAAATATATAATGAGAAATGCCTCCAGTTTTCAGTGTTCTGTTACATTTAAATTTAGATAATGGGTCCTATAATTGAACGTTTACGTTATCCGTAATGTACATGTTAGGCCAAGTTTTAACAGTAACGAGGCAAGTTCGTATGATGGAAAACTTTTTCCAACACACTACTATTATTTTCCGCCTGATATGTTCTAATTTAACAGTTTTCCAACATAGGAACTTGCCTCGTTACTTTTAAAATTCTGCCTAACATGTACGTTACGGATAACGTAAACGTTCAATCATAGCACCCAATGCCTTTAAATTTTTCAATATTTAGGTTCTTCAATTTCCTTTTAGTAATGAATTTCTGTCTCGATTTATTAATATATAATATATATATATATATATATATATATATATATATATATATATATATATATATATATATATATATATATATATATATATATATATATATATATATATATATATATATATATATATATATATATATATAAGTGATTGTAATTTAGTAAAAAACAGAGGTGTAAACCAGACAAATTTTTCTGATCATGGGTACTCTTTCTGTAGTTAATTTTCAAAAATAAAAAAGAAACCTAAATTTTATGCGTTTAGAGATTTTAAAAATTTGGTCTATGACAGTTTTTACAAATAAAATTTTCAATATTGAAAATATTGATGATAAAGTGCAGTTTTTCACAGAATAAGTTATTCTCTTGTTTGACAAATATGCGCCATTAAAAACTATACGTATTACTAAACCTTATGCACCCTGGTTAACTTATCCAATCAAATTACTAATTAAGGAAAGAAATTTTGCTTTAAGCAAATATAAGCAAACAAGATTACACACTAATTGGAATAGATATAAGGAATTAAGAAATTTTACTCTCTCTATACTTCGTGAAAAAACAGCGTGAAAAATGAAAAAATAGCCTATTTTGATAACCTGTTTAATTCCCATAAATCCAAGGATTTATGGAAGGGTGTCAATAAACTTCAGCCCAGAAAGCAAGAAATAACCCTACCTATTTCGCTGCAGAAACCTGAAGAAATAAATAAGTATTTTTGTTCTGTTTTTGTTGATAATGAAGTAGATGATGACCTATTAGAATATTACAGTAATTCAACACTACTTAATTTGCATGGAAACAAACTAGCACTTGATTTTTTAACTGTAAGATAATTTAATAAACTACTCCATAATATCAAATCTAATGACATTAATTGACTTATTTATTAAACATCATATAAATATTGCAACGAGAAAAACAAGTACAACCTCAACTTGTTTAGATAATTTTTTTTTACCAATTTTGATGTAGATAATAGTCCAAGAGCCCGTGAGAGCCAGACCTTCGGAATTTTATAAAAGCTGAGAGTTCTTGTGTGTATGTCCCCAATACAGGTAAGAATGATCCCAGCCCATGAAACCTGAGTAGTGGTGGCTTTGGCAGGTAACAGGTAGCAAAGGTGCATAAAATTCCACCTCAAATTTATTAATTTATAAAACTCATTTTTTTTATATTTTATTCGTAATAATATTAAAACTCGCGTTGCTCATTGCCAGACACTTGATATGGTTACAACCCTCTGCCAGACACCCCTGAACTATTATAATTTGTAACTATACTTACGTTATATTATAAAAACTAAATTTTATACATATATTATTTGGACAACTATTAAATAATGTTTCCTTAATAGCCAGACAATTTCGAGGGTTATATCGTCCTGCCAGACGTATTAAATGTGTACAATAATTATGAGTGAGAGGAGCATATGCAGCAAAGGGTGTGAGTGAAATAGAGCGTGCAGTCTATTGCGCTAGTTCAGTGTGATGCCATTTTGGTTCTACTGACATTTAATTCTAACCAAACGTTTAACAAAAACAT